ATTTCAAATTTGATGAACACCAGATTCCTGATAATTCTTGTGTCGGATTTTTCAGTAAAATAACACAGTGTGCAATATTGTTCTTGCAAATTTGGCCTCAAATTCATGGAGTAATTCATCTATGTCATTGTCTAAGTCTTCGCTATTTGCCAACTAAAACATGAACATTTGCATATTATAAAATTGAAATATATTTCAAATTAATTAAAATTAAAAAGAATATATAATACCACTGTTACTAGCTCGCATATAAGAAACGAGCCTACTGTGGCTTCTTCGTGATTATCCTGAATGTCAATATTAATCAAATGCACAGGTTGATTATCTTCTTTAGTTCTAGATTCCATGCATTCGATTACTTGATCGTATACACGTTCCTCGCATGAAATTAGAATATCAAACTTATCCTTGGACAATTGAAATCGTTCCGGTCTAGGTTTTATTCGACGGTTCCGATCCAGCATATGTAGTAAACCATTCTGTGTATAACTGTACTAATTATTAAGGAATAATTAATATAGAAAAGATATAGTATTATATAAAGAAAATTCTTTTTTTATCTAGATAAATTAAAATTAGTAGCTTAATAGCAAAAATTTATAAAATTTATTAGCAAACAAAACAGATTTATATTTTTAATATTACATATGTCAGAAAAGTATCAAAAAGCTTATTTATATAAGGATACTATTGCTTGTCTTTCATCAATAAATCATTGTAGATCTCATCGTATGAAGTTCCAAAGTCGTAGATATTAGGGCGATCTGGTGCAGTACCAGGTAATTTGACCTTGTCTCCAGTTCCAAATGATTTCACATTAAATCCCTTTTTGCTGAAACACAATCATATTTTCAAATGAGATGCACATTCTATGCAACAACTTGATTTCAATTATTAAATATTGCAATATTTTGGAGGATTTAGCAATTTGAAAATAAGTATCGAAAATTGCATTCTACAAGAAGAAAGTCACAAATCATCGAGGATGCAATTGTCAATGGATTAATCGGTTTGCACGAGGTTAATCATTGATTGACTGATTACCTCAGAAAAGCATGTGCCTCCATGCTCCTGTTCATGTTACTGGAACATATTACAGCTACGCTGATGGAATTTGGTGCTGGCATTTTTCCGCGCGTTTCTATCAACGGTAAAAGGGCCGTGATAGTCGTGAAATCGTCTAACCAAAGATAATTTCGCGTTTGAAGGTTATATTTGAAAGGTTACAAAGGATGCATGTGATACGCGACGTGTAAATTTTTGATGCGAGTGTAATTTATTTCTTTTTATCTGAATTTAATCGAAGCGTAATGGAGGCGCAATGCAGCCCGAGCGAACGTTAATCATTCCCCACGGCGAGAAATTATCCTAACGGATTATTTAGGAGCAATTACGGGAAGATCCCGAACGCTATCACGATCCACGACGATCTGTTCTCCAGTCTCCGCAAGTCTCCGTCTCCGAGTTTTTTGCTCCGTCGATAAAAATAACGGAGATGTTCTTTAGCGACATCTAAAGATAAACGTAATACGATAGTTAAAAAAAAACCGTTATCGACAGAAACTTTGGGAATAAAGAAAATTATCAACCTCGGACAATAAAATTTACGAAACTAATAAATCATAAAATTAATAATTATCAATTTTTTACTCTCGGTCATTTAAATCCCTCAATAGGAACGCAAACTTCCCTAAGAGTAAGAATGTCGGTTTAATATATAGTTATCTCATAAATGACAAGAAAATATACTTTGTTACATTTATTATCTTTCAAGTGTAAAAATGTCTTGTATAAGATAATTATATTTTATATAGATAACATATTAAATCTTATCAAATATAGTAATCAGTCAATGATCGACTATATTTACACGACATCTTTAATCATCCTTATATTTAATAACATCCGTACTCAGCAAATGAGAATGGATTGAAATGAATTGAAATAGATTCAGATTTTCAGAAATATTGATTCACAAATGTTAAAATAAATGCTTTTCAATCCTGAATTTTTATTCATTTATAGGAATTGCATGGAGCATATCTTTATACCTTTCAATCTAAAAATAATAGTAGCTTTTTCTGTGCACATAACACATATTGTGAATACTGTTTAATTCAAAATTTTGAAAGGAAATGCAGTTTTTCAATCCAATTGCGTCTAATTGAATCTAATTGAATCCAATTGAATCCAATTAAATCCAAAAAAATAAATTTCAATCTATTTTTAATCCATTCTCGTTTGCTGGGTAGTTATGAAATTAGTCAATCTATTCTTCCGAGGAACAGCTATGATTGATCAATTTAATAACTACGGATGTTATCAAACCCGATTAAGCGTACCGTGTAAATGTAGTAAATTGCTTTGTATGTACGTTTTATATATACATATACGATTAAACAAATATTATATATTATGATCGGCGTGGTTCACCGAATCGACGTTGGCAACATGGCTTGGCAATTCAAACTGGTGCAAACTTCAAGCAGTTGAAGCGCGTGTGATTTTGAAGGTATGCTTCGTTTTGGCGCATGCAGGCGGAAGTTCTTTGAAAAGTGACTCGTTTTATCGCGTGAACGAGATTCTTCGAAAAGTGCTTCGTGTGTATAAACGTGCTCGTTTATCATACTTTTCGCTAAGAAACTCTCGGAAACCATCCAGAGAAGCCTCCATCCTGGTGAGTAAAGTTGACACGTTTGTTTGCTGAGGTTATGCATTATCGTCATTATATATGCGTTTGTTGTATGTACGTATATATACATATATATGTGCTTTATTTTTCATATACCATTCTTTTTAGGTTTAATTTTCGAAATTTGACGAAAAACAATTAAATATATATCGACTTGGAAATGGGATAAAAATATATTTATAATAAATTAATAACGTTCACAAGACATAATTTAAATGATGAGGAACTAACAGATATTATTTTACACAATTATTTTACACAATTGTTTATTGTGCCAAATTAAATGATAAATTTGATTAATTTTTTACAAGCGATTCGCGAGAATTAAGGTATTGAATCGGCTCTAGGTTAACGTCTTTCTACAAATTGCACGTGAAATTCGCGCGCTCTCGAGTCGGGGAGAATTAAAAAGGCTCGTCATTAAATTGCATAATGCCGGTCGCGGATCTGTTACAAAACCACGAAATAATGACTAGCGCCGCGTATACTTGGTCGGGATACAGTCGACGCGACTTGGGACGCTCGATGAAGATTGCGTGTCTCGAACTCGGAGGCTTGAATTAAGGCGGGACCCAGGCTTCGACGAGACTTCAATTTCGCGCTCGATGATTCTTGCAAGATTAGTGCCCGGTGTCGCGATCCTCCGAAAGAGAACATGAATAGTCCGAACAGATTCGGCGAGCGTTTCGAGAAAGGGAGATGCGATCGACGGAGCGCTAAAATTACATGTATAATATCACGATTATATACTGTTGTTTCTGTCACATCATCTCGTTTCTGTCGCAATCTTCTATAATAACCGAATATTCTTTCATCAACTTGAAATCTATTTTTCTTCGATAGAAATATATTTATAGCTTCCGAAATTATTATACGTATATTTAGTGAATAAAAATAAGAGCCTTTGATGAATTAAATTTTGAAAAAAAAAAATGAATAAGGAAGTCATATTTACTAGTTTATTTAAAATCAATTTTTCTTTAACAAAAACTTTATGCTAAGTATTTTATTGCAAAATTGTATGTTTGTCTACCTCTATTATTTCAAACTGGTTAGAATTGTCTAAAAATAATGTTGCAAAAATAAGACGTTGTATATACTTATTTAGTATTAATTTTTATTCTATCGGCTGTTACGAAATCATTTTCTGTTTCTTTTTGTTCCTTAAAGTAGGACATAATATAAGCAAAATTCCTTTTAATTTCCTTTTAAATATTCTTTATAAATTTTTTTAGTGATAACATTATCTGAGAAAACAAAAATTGCGATTTATATAATTTCCAATACTTTTTTTATCATCATTCAACGTGAAATTATTTAAAAACGGATCGCACGTATTTTGTCGGCAATAGGTGATGTTGTAAAATTAACGCGAACGACGTCAAGTACATTTAGCTACTCATATTGCAGCATCCGTATGCTCTCGTTCCGCGAATCATCCATGGGTGCACATGGGTGCACGTGCACCGCAACTTGTACGTACAAACAGATCAACGATGAACGAAACCAATTTAGATCCATAGCTCGTCTCTTTGT